CTTCTCCATTTTTGTGGTGCTGTCTCTTAGACACATCTAGATGTGTATAAGAGACAGAGATTACTCAACCTTTGATAGGAGTAAAGATGAAAAGTTTGGTGGTGAAAATGCTTGCCCTTCAATCTCAGGATCCTGGGTTAAATTCCTTTAACACTAGGATTTTTTTTTACGACCAAACACAACTCCACTCCCAATACCTTATAATGAGACCTAGTTTATAAAGCAAAACTGGGGAAAATAGTAGACTTATACTGAACAGACTAACCGGGATATAAAAGATATATTCATCTATTTTAATCTTATTTAATTTTACCTTAATTTCACAGCAGATACACGTTTATCATAAAAACTATACAGCCCCATTACCCAGAATAATTAATAATCCAGTAGACCTATGTAAAAGATTAGAGGATTATATTTTTTTCAGCACCGGTACCTCTCAACCACTATATATTACACATAATTTTTTCTAATGACTACACTTATTAGCTTTATTACATACCAAATTTCTTTTTTTAGTCGTCATCGATGTGCTAAATATTGTAGGTCATTTGGGCGCGTACTGGTACAGCTAAGCAACTCCTCTACCTCAGAAAATAGGAGCACTAGTTCATTGGTCACACTTTAGATTTAATTTACATTTCCCAGAGGATTGTTGTATTATTTAGCTACTCTACCCAGTGGTGGAGCCATTAGGAAAGGGAAGCAGCAGAATTTTGCCGGGAATAGCTGCCGCCTCGTTAGGGAAGCTTGACACATGTTGTATGAAAAAAATATCCTATGTAAAGTTATGACAATAGCGTGTAACACTTTCCCCGGCAGGGTTATCAACAGTCGGTCTTACTCTCCCCGACGACGTCTTCATCTGACAGTGCACCATCTACATAGGATCAACACATAGACTTGCTTGGAAATTTAGAGAAAACGTAAACAAATGGCGGGACGAAAGTTGGATAGTCAGAGGATGCACGGTACATTTTACTTTATAACGCGCAACTTTCACAGGCAGTAACGGGCCCCCGACAAATTTTTGCTCTGAATGAAAAAAATGATGGACCAATACTACATTTAGCAAAGATATGATTACTATTAAGTAGTGAATGTTCTCATTCATCCAGTAAAAATGTAATAACGTTTGCTACGGACATTCATCCTTCATAAAAAAAATACTTTTACATTTTCAGGAAAGTCATTATGCATATTGTATCACAAACTAGTGGCGGAAAACTCACAAGTTAGTAAATTCTAAACAAATGTGTTCAAAATCAGTAATAAATCAGCTAAAATGCAGAATCTTGGAGCTCCAGGCACTGAACTGTAATAGTCTTTTGACACTTTTGGTAGCCTTCAGACCCCCGAAAGGCTCATTTCCCGAATGGAAATCCTTTTAACTATCGTGATACCAGCCTAATAAATGTCAATAGTAGAGGCCTATTTAGAAATATGCATATATCAGTCTTCTCATTCCTTAAAGCCGAAGCTTCTGTTTTTTAGATTATTGTAGGTCCTAATATTTTTTTTACGGTGTTTGAGATTATGAAAACGATTAAATATGCCTCTCAATTCCTTATATTTGCGCCTCTCAACTCCACCGGGGTCCTTGGTGGTCCCTGGCTCCAAGCTCAGTTAAGGTTGCTTCGTTCGTATTCCCATCATCAGGAACTTCTCGTCTGGCAAAATCTTTTCGCCACCACAGCTGTATCTTTCCAAGTTATCTTGCTTCTCCATTTTTGTGGTGTTTTCGCTTACTCTTTTAATGTCTCCGAGATTTAAATACTAGGCCTATTACTAATATGGTTTAATTCATAAAACAAATGCTCATGTAATTGTGAGTTTTCTACCTGTAATGGCTTGACGCGCTTTGGCAAGCCTGCTCATGACTGATGCTGTGCATCTTCAGTTGCCGTGGAGTAGCATCCCTATCTTTCGACTTTATTTCTACCCTTCCTCATACTCCTACATTTGGAGCCCTTGAATCGCCAGGTTTACCCACCAGAACCAGAACGAATATCTTACAGATCATCAACTATTTCAATATTAGGCCTATATATTATAACTATATTAAATTTCAAAATTATTTCTATTTAGTAAGGTAAAAGTATCTTCGAATAACAATAAAATTGAGTTAGTTAAATGATAGTAATTATTTGAACAATGTTAGGTTAAAATTATCAATCCTTTCCTCAAATACAGCTCAAATTGTCTAGTCTATTCTGATAATTCTTCCTTGCCTTTAACTTCTGGGACAATTTTATTATATTTATTTTTACTCTTGTGCAAAACTCGTTATAACTCTCCACTCTAAGTTCAAACGCTAAGGAAGTACGGTGTGCGCATAGCACCACTGGAATGCCCCACGGGCATGGGCACGGGCAAGGCACGGGGCATGGGAATGGTTTGCATAATGGCTGGCTTCCTATCATTCCAGTGACCATGGACCTCTGCAACCTCCTTGTATTCTTTGTCAAAGGGCACTAATGTTTATAATAATTGTATTGGTCTCCATTTAGAAGTAATGAGGATAAATTGACATTTAAAACAATTAATAAGACTCATTATTATATAAGAACATTACAGTCTAAATACTATTCTCCTCTCTTTGTCATTTCGGAGTCATTTAGCGATGTTCCTTCATAATCGTCCTGATCAGCTCTCTGTCTTAGATAATTATCACTGACAAAAACTGAAATGAAGCAAACAGGTTACAGTTTTAACGTTTAGTTATCTGGATTATTTACCCTACCTGGGTCACCTCTGTTTCGAATTCCTGGATCCGCCACTATTGAGTTATTATATAATTATTATTAGGCTTACTAACATTATTTATGATGCGTCTATTGCAATTTTCACTTTACCCTTCCAAAACAGTCCTAAAACTCTTCAGAGTGCGCAACCTCCCATCGGGGTCTTTGGCGTCCCCCAGGCGTAGGGAAGGGGACACCCTAACCCCGCTTGGTACTACGTACGTCGCATGGCTTCCCCCACTTTCAAAATCCTGACTATCGTCCCTGTCATCATTTGCATCATCTCTATAGTATCATCATCGCCCAAATAATCTCCATCATCATATCATCATCACCACCATCAGACATCCTCATCATCATCATCATCATCATCATCATCATCATCATCATCATCATCATCATCATCATCATCATCATCATCATCATCATCATCACCACCATCATCCTCATCATCACCACCATCATCATCATCATCATCATCATCATCATCATCATCATCACCACCATCATCATCTTCATCCCCATCACCACCATCAGACGTCATCATCATCACCCACCCCTACCATCATCATCATCATCATCATCATCATCATCATCATCATCATCATCATCATCACCACCATCATCATCTTCATCCCCATCACCACCATCAGACACCATCATCATCACCCACCCCTACCATCATCATCATCATCATCATCATCATCATCATCATCATCATCGTCGTCTTCATCGTATCTTCATGTCATTATCACACCATAACTAGTAAAGAAGAATAAAAATTGTACGAACTCGATAAGACGAATGCGAAAAGCATCATGGCAATGAACATAATCATCGTTACCCATATATTGGTTGCAGCGAGGACAACATCGTACAACAGCATCATAACGCATGCAAAAGCCTATGGTGGAAACGGAATAACATGTAATAACCTCGCTAATTGTTGAATGGTTATGTGGATACAATTTAAATAGTAATGTATAATTATGATAAATATAATGATGAAAATAAAAAAAATAATGATAACAAAATAAATAAAACTATAATAATAATAATAACAACAACAACAACAACAACAACAACAACAACAATAATAATAATATAAATAATAATTAATAATAATAATAATAATAATAACAATAATAATAATAATAATAACAATAATAATGAAAATAAATAAATGATTGATATAATAATGAAATATTGAAATAATAATATGATGATAATGATTATGATAATAAGGATAAAGGTGAGAATAATAATGATGATAGTAGTGGTGGTGATAATGATGATCTTGTTGGCTTTAAAAATAAAATATACCAAGCATTACACGTGCATTTGAAAAGTTTTATTACCTAAAATTGTTTTTTCCCCCTTGCTATACACAACGTTATTGTTTGTATTATCGGACATGTATACTTACATAGCCTGCTGCATTTAGAAGACCGGACGACATAATCTCTGGCTCAGGGTACGTCAATTCAATGGCATATTCGAATCCTATGATAATCGTACACGCAGCAAAAAACCTGTTGGGCATAATCAAGGTTCAATCATTTTGTTTTTTAAGTTATCATAACACAGTAGCTAAGACCTAAATGAGACTCGTGGCTATAGGCTTATTCCTTGCAGTACTACTCTGGGGAAGGGACAAGTACAGTACTGTTCCAAGTGGGATACTGGGCGAAGGTCGTTTTGACGTCTTAAAGGCGTATTTAAATATTTTTACACGTTCTGCTAATTAAGGGGATCCCGCAAATTCTATCGATTTGGGGCCCATAACAGGGGTGGCGCCAGGATTTGCCCGAAGGGGGGGGGGGGGGGGAGGGGGTCGATGCCCCCGACGAGGGGCCGATGCCCTCGACGAGAGGTCAGATTTCCCCGACGAAAGCAATGTGGGCGTGGTCGAGCTCCGATTGAAAGGTTTCGAAAGTGGTCAAGGGGCGAGGCCCCGAAAATTTTAACAATTTAGGGGTTTCAAAGGCTTATTTAATCGATTTTAGAGTCTAAAAATACGTAGAAAATACATATAATTTTTTTTCACCCTGACGAATTGTGCTTTTTCTCCCCGACGGGGGGGGGGGGTGGAAGCACTCCCCGACGAGGGGGGATGTGCCCCCCCCCACCCGCTGGCGCCACCCCTGGCGCTTAATAAATACCAACATTTATTACATATACAATCAAATACGCGAATTAACATAAAAATATACACTTGGGCGAAACTTACTCATATATGACCATATCAATCACAACACATACAGCACAATCTAAATAGATTGACAACGTAAAAAGAAAAACAGTGACTGCATTACAGAAAACAGAAGCGATAAATGTCCTCCTGCAAAAGACAAGATAATCATAAAAGTGATAGCGTAAGCAGCTCTGCAACTACAAATTCAATTAAAAGCAAGGAAGTACTGCACTGTATACAAAAAATTGACATTAATTTTACCTGAAAGATCTTGATTTATCTAGCCAATGGCCTGCCGCCATTGGACCAACTATGACGGCGAGAATCTTGGCCAGTCCAACATACTGAATTACTACATTTGCATTGGTCTAAATGTACATTAAAAAAAAAACAGAAACCAAAATAATGCTTTATTCAGTCAGGATATACAATATTTATATTAAAGGGCAACCTTTTGTAAAAACAACTCTGTTATTTGCCGACATACAATCCTGATAAGTGAAATATGACATCAGAAAATTCTGAAATACACCACTAAATCTTAACTCGTGTGCCGACTAGGCCCTAGCAGAAAGTGTGGTTTAAATCGTAGGAAAACGTGAACGGAAACTGGGAGGTTAACCTCCTTGTTTTGATATAACTCATTCTCCATTTTTTCACCAATGTAACATGTTGCATTTTACACAAAGATTCTCGGTTGTGCAAGTAATATTATGATCCTGGCGGTCCAATGAGATTGTAATATTTATTTGGGCTTACACATAATACAATAATATTTATTTGAGGGCTTACAGTACATAATGCTATAATACTTGTTTGGAACTTTTATATCAGTGGCACACTTTATAAAACAAAGTTCCGTCCAAAACAAAACTTTAAGACAAATGATTGCAAGGCACGTAAAATTAAAAAAGAAAAACTAAAATTTTCACACAACTCAAAAACATCCCTTTTCCCCTTCTGCCCATAACAATTTAAATTTTACCTCCCCACTAAATAAAACTGTACTTAACATCTTTTTCTGCCCATTCGAATGTGTACCAGACGGAGTGTACCAACTATTTTATTTTATTAGCGTTGCAGGTTGGTGTTCAAAATGTTCTTATATTTGTAGAACCACAGTTACATACTTAACGTAAAGTTCCGCTAAATAAAGTTGCAAGATACGTTACCGCAAAGTTGCGTTAACGTTACTATCTGACCTAACTCCACCACAACGTTTACATCGTTCGCAAATTTATAACATTTTGTGTTTGTTGGGAACTTGACGTTAGATTTACAGTCTCTTCTATGGAGAACATTAATTAATTACTTAAAATGGGAGACAACTATATTAT